GGCGCTGCGCGGCCTCAACTGCGCGCTGGTGCAGACGAGCTTCGTGCCCGACGAGTACTGGCAGGCGCTGGAGGTGGCGCACCGCGCCGCGTTCGGATATCCTTCCCGCCCGCCGCGGGGGAACGGCGCGGGCCGCGCGGTAGCATCGTGCGCTGTTGTTCGTGCTGTGTGTCCTTAACGTTAATAATTATGGATACCTGACGTGGGAATGGGAGAACGGCCTAAGGGGCTTTTCGTACCCGCTGGTCTTTGCGAGCATCTACAAAGCGCTACAGCTCCTTGCTAAGGATGATGTCCAGCTGCTGGTACGTATGGAGACACCAAGCACTTCACCCCCTACTCAAGATGTAACTTAAAAGCATTACATTTAAGCTGATGATTGTTCACAAAATATAGGAAGCCTGGAGCCTGCCATGAGGCAGTCGGGAGCACGCAGGCTGCCCACACGATGCCTCTTTGAACTTGAAATTTAACATTTTGCTACAAATAAGAAAGTTTTCTCTTTGCTTATGCAGATATGGGTCCCTAGACTTGTCCAAGCACTTCTGGCAGCTTTTGCTGACGTGAAGCTTTATTCATTAGTGAGACACCTTGAAAATGCAGAAACAGCACAGTGGGTGGTGAGTCTCAACCTTCAAAAATACGATATTAATTAACACTGTCTATTGCAATGTAAAGAATAGCAACATGACAGTAAGAAAAACTATGACCTTTACTTAAGACTACAGAATTTAGTGTGTTAAAATTTATCCCTGTTATTCATAATTATTTTCAGTTCTTCTGCCAGCTGTGCTCTTGGTTTACGTGGTATTCCTGTACCAGGACTCTAACAAACACCATGGAAACTCTTCTTACCAGTTTTGCTCTTTCCTACTATCCATTTAAAGGTTCCAAGATGGGGAGCAGGTGAGAAACTTTCTGCCGATAATCATAAAATCATAAAATCATAACGGTTGGAAAAGACCTTCAAGATCGAGTCCAACTGTAAAATCTTCAACACCATGCCTGCTAAAATGATCCTTGGCTGTGGATAATACTAGTCAACTGATACCATTTGAAATGATGCCTCTTAAAACATAAAAAACACCTTATTCATATAGCAAGCATTGTTTTAGACAGTGGAAGGAACAGCACATAGGGCCTATAAAATGACTATCCTCTGCTCCAGTGTCTGTACTCAAAGCATCCCTTTATGGAAAATCTTGATTTGGACTTAGAAGACTGGAGTTTGTGGTAACTTGGGAAAAGATAACAGAAGCTAGTGAGGGTTCAGTCACAGCTGAATTTGTTGTTGCTATTATCTTTGTTTACCAGGTATCTACTTTAAAACACACAGGCTCTTCTAGTAGTACACATGTCCTTCCATGTAGTAATTACATGGTTGACAGCTCTTCTAGCAAAACAAAGTATCTGCACTCAGAGAACCAAAATTATTTGTGGGATGTAGAACTTCTGGTCAGAGACTTGACAATATTTAAATTGTTAAAATGCCACTGTCTGCAAAAGAAGTAATCAAAGCTTCTGATAAACTTTTTTTCTTATGTTCCTTCATTCTAGTTACAAATACTTAACTTCAGTAGCACTTGCAGTTGTTATTCGTCCCACTGCTCTTATTCCATGGATACCTTTAGTCTTTAATCATTTTTGGCAAGAACAGAAGAAAGCAGACCTCATCTTACACAAATGCATTCCTGTTGGGTAAGTCCTTTCTGAATTTAATGAACTATGACTGGGCACAGCTTTATCTGAGCATCTGTTTCACCATTCATTGCATTCATATTCCATACTGCAACGAGACACAAAAAAACCCTAAAAATATCTGCTTTAAGGAAAGAACAGATTTCCTTTGCAGAAGCTTAAAGAGGAGGTATGCTTCCTCTAAATTCATCTAGAAAAAAATACAATCTGTTACAATTCAAGTATTAGTAATGCCACCAACTTTCCTCTTCTGTAGATTGGTCACAGTGGGAACCTCTTTAATAATTGACCGTGTGTTTTTTGGTAAGGTAAGATGCTCTAAAGACAATTTGTAAGATAGAGGTTATTTTTAAGACGGACAGATGTTTCAGACATTTTTTTTTCTTTGTTCATTTCTGTGATCCTGATACTTTTGGATTTGGCTTATTACCTCTAAGTAATAAAACCTTAACCCCTGACTTCTCAGTTATTCTAAATTCTCAGGGTATAGTTTCATATTAATAGGCTAGACTCTTGTTTGTTTGAAACATATCAACAAACTATAAAACTTGTAGACTGCTGTTTTTAACTGCTAAAGACTATGAAGTCTGTGATGAGTTTTAGTAGAAGGGAGGTAAGATTTTAAGTATGAATGAAAATTCTACATTATTTAAGGGCAATGGTAACTATATAACATAACAAATATGTTAATTTTCACTTTGGATTCTTCCTTAACTTTTTCTTCTCCTCCCCCATCTCCCAGTGGGTCCTGGTTCAGCTGAACTTCTTGAAATTCAATGTGCTGCAGAATTTGGGAACATTTTATGGTTCTCATCCTTGGCACTGGTACTTCACTCAGGGACTACCTGTTGTCTTGGGTACCCACCTACCTTTCTTTATTCATGGCTGCGTGCAGGCACCAAAAAGATACCGCATCTTTCTAATGGCAGTGATCTGGACAGTGTTAGTATACAGGTAATTTTTGAAAGCCTCCTAACTATTTCATTGGTTGTATTCTTTTAATCAAAGCTTATGTCCTCTGTAGAGCAAAAATAGTGGTATTCTGGTTAAACAATAGAGCTTAAACTATCCAACTACTCCAACACTGCTAGTTTCTCATATTTGATCAAATAAAAAAGATAATTATACAAGAAATATTAAGTGATGAGATGCTTAAGAAAATAATTCAGCATGAAATCCTAGGGAAGATGAAAAAAAATATGAATCACCTTACAAGTATGTGCTGTGAACAGCAGTAGGACTAGTTAGAAAACTACTCACTAAAATTGTATTTCATTTGGTTACTTCTTATATTCCGAGTAAGACAAGAGGTTCTTCAACCCATAAATCTTACTCCATTCACAAGTCTTAACACAGCTCTTGGCCTTTATTATGGGACTCTATTATTTTAAGCACAGAAGAAGGTCAGTTGCTCTAAAGCATCAGAATCAGGTGCCAGTGAAATGCTTTCAAGCTCTTCATGTAACACACTTGTCATTAAGCAAGCCAAACTTAACAGCAGAAAGATGTGATGGATTAATAAACACTAAATACTATTCAAAGTACAGTAGTAACAGAATACAGCCAAACAGTAGTGAGACCACAATGCCTTCCATAGTCCAACTTAATCCAACTCAAAACTGGTTGTAGCTCTATTGGCCTTAAGGCTTTTGTTTTTGTTTTGTTTCTATTTCTTCTACTTTGGTTCTCTTGGCACAAGCCAAAACAGTAATCCAAAAAACTCTCAACACTTGGCTTGAAAGATAATGTGGAAGTGGTGCTGCATGCCAACAAAATAATGCAAAGGTGAAAATTCACCTTTAACAGAGGTGAATGTGACTTTGTTAGATAAGAAATGCCTTTACTTAAGCACTTAAATGTTAGCTCACCATCCCACTTTTTATTGTTTTGTATTATTAAAAAAAAAAAGTACTAGCTAGGTTGTCACATCTCACTATTCATAGAGCCAGACCATTTAATTGCAGACAAATGTCAGATCACAGCAGCCAGACAGAATTTTTAGTGCTCGGTTTAAACCGACCAACAACCATTTAAACTTGAAAAAGGGAGATGTGTACTGATTGTGCTCTTGAAAAGTAAGTTTGTATGTTTACTCTAAACTGATTAAAACCCAAATGTTTAAGTGCTTTTCTTTTAGTCCTATGTGCTCTAAAACATATTGTAACAGAACTGAGGCACTTAGCTTTCTTTCTGTAGTATCTTATCTATTTTATTGCAGTACGCTGAGCCATAAAGAATTCAGGTTCATCTATCCAGTGCTGCCATTTTGCATGTTCTTTTGCGGTAAGCATTTAGTTTTAAAATGTCCTATAACCCTTGGTTTTATATATATAGATATATATTCACACACACACATATATATATATAACAGTAAGTGTGTGTACGTGTGTGCATATATATAACACAGACTGTTAATAGTTCAGGTTCTGTGTTTTACAAAGCTGCTTAGAATGAGCCTAACCATTCTTTACAGCTAGTAAAGACAATAAAGAACAAGTCACTGAAATACTTTTATCAATGTAAGAAGGCTCTACCTGTATCTCCTGTAAAAAAAAAAAGTTTTAAAATTGCATCACTTACTCCTACATTTTTAGCAATAACACCCTTACAGTGCCTTCCCTTCCTTTGCTCCTGTGCAGTAGTCTTTCTTCACACACTCCTTTCAAATACACTGAAACACAAAGGCTTTTATGAGTGTTTTTAGGAAGGAAATTCAACTTTCAAACTCATCTGTTTCTAGATTCAGTTGTATTAGTGAATGATGCTAATCTTCCTACCTGCTCTTGAGTATCTAGCAGTTGGAGGCTGTTTTCCACAGTTAATTTGAGCTTGGAAGCAATTAATTTGAGCAGTTTTCCTTTAGGCATAAAAAAGGATCAATCTGTTAAACTAGGACTACACAGTTTAAACTAGCTTTGAAATCAAGGGTAGCTCACATGAACTGCTGCATTGGCACTTGAGGGCTTGATTTTTCCTATCTGTTGGATCTTGAAGAAAATCTGTCCACAGTTTAAACTAGAAGGCATATTTTTCTAAAGCATTAACAGCAACACTTAAAATACTCCTTTTTTCTTGTCCTTGTTAAATACAGAGAAGAGTCTGATAAAGAAGTATTTTATATTTTACACACCAAGTATTAGCTAGACTAGCGTTACATCTATAGAAAAGGTGACATCGTTGTGTAAAACAAAGTAAAAAAAGCTCCAGAGGACGTTTTAGAACATGAAGTTGCATAGCTTTCATTTAAAATAAAAGTTCAAGACAGATAAGCCAATTATGTTAGCCTAATCAAGAGTACATCTTATTCAATTTCGTGCACTACAGAGGTCAGGTATTTAATATACCTTAGCTTAGTGCAACATCCAGGTCAGTAGCAGATTTAAGATAACTCATTTTACTTCTAGATGCAGCAAAACTCCTCTTATGGAGAAATAACTCTTTCATGCTGTTAATATCCATCTTAGCTTTCAAAAGGGAATAGAGACATTTTCTCCATTTACCAAGAGCTGAATACTTTTGTTTGGATACTTTTGTAACAAAAAGATGACAAGATTTCTGATAACTCAGTGGTTACAAATAAGTCTTTAAATTGCTGATAATGTTAGATATAAAAGCAGTAAAAATGCCCATTAGTTTTGAAGTCCTTTCCTAAAGATAAGCATACCTAAAGATAAGCTAACAGTTTCACAAAAGCTGAAAAGAAAAAATGCCTATAATAGAATGTTTCCACTGGTGTTTAAACCACAGACTAATTACGGGACTTTGTTTTCATCTAAGATGAAGATCTTCAATTTGTTAGAACACAGAGCAGCTGAAGACTATTGAATGTATTTGTTGCACTGACTTCTGAAACAGGCCTATTCTAGTTGTTTGTTTTGATTCAGTAGAGGTCAATCGAAAGACCACCAATACTACATAAAATACTTTCATAAGATCGACAAGAAGCTCATAAAGGTCTTTAGACATTAGAACATGTAGGTGTTTTGTCTGAAAAGTTAACCTGCGGCTGTGGCTATGAGAAATAGGTCGTTAGCTATCTCCCTTCAGGAGAAAGGTCTCTCTTCCTTGTATTAGTTCCTTCAAGAAATGGGGAAGGATATAGAGAAGGAGAGAGCAGTAAGCTTGTCCAAGGGAGGTGACTTAGAAACCAGTAACAATAAGAACCCTACCAAACTTATGAAAGGAATGCTGTAGCTATCAGCACACTGGAGAAAGAATGCCAGCTTGCTGGCAGCAGAGTACCTGGCATTCATACTGGCTCTGCTTGAACATTAGTAAATCAAAACACATCATTATATCTTCACATGTCATTCACGTATGGACAATTACTTCCAGTAAATGAAAAATTGTCTCTAAAGAGGTAAAGCAGTGGCCTTGAAATTTTACTTCTAGATTCCAAGAGACAGGTACAGGCTTAACATTTATATTGTTATATCTACAAGAGAACAAAGTTTAATCCTTGAATTTCCTCATATAATTCAATTTTCCTCAAAATAATTCAAAACCAGGTCATTGCTGTAAATTGAATAGTGATTTTTTCCAGTAAGTTACAATACTTTCATAAAAGACTGTGTGTGAAATTGTTAGTATTTACCTATCTCTAAAACTTACTTACATGTTTCTCTAGGATATTCTTTGAAACAATTGAAAACCTGGAAGAAATCCGCAGCAATTTTCCTGCTTTTAACAAATTTGCTCCCAGCCCTGTATACAGGCTTGATTCACCAGCGAGGCTCTCTTGATGTTATGAGTCATGTCCAGCAGCTGTGTAATAACTCTTACCCGTCACAAGCTTCTGTCTTCTTCATGATGCCATGCCACTCTACTCCATTTTACAGGTAACAGAACAGCCAAGAGAGTGTATAATATCAGAATTCATGCATCTAAGCAGATTTTTGTTTTGTTTCCCCTCCTCCAAACTTAATAAATTGAGATTAATGAAAGAGCACAAGAAATGGTTTAGGTTTTGGTTTTTTATACGTATATACAGTTAATATAGAATAACTTGGGAAAACTAGATAAATGCTTACTCCACAGAATAAAATTCAGCATCTATATTTTTTTAAATGTTTTTTTTCACAAGGTTTTGTAGTAGTTATATGCAATAAGCAGGTAAGTTGTGACTTTTGACAGTAATTCTTATTGCTTCACTGTGATAATTTTTCAGTAAAAATTACTGACTATAAGCTCTATATTACTTTAATTTTGCCTTTACCCTCTAGTACCAAAAGTGAAGAAATAATTGTAACACAGTGACTGAAGTCACTATTCCAATAAATTTGCAATACATCAAATTAATAAAATATCAGGCTGATGTTGAAAAGTACCTTTTATTTAAGGAACCGATGTTATGCAGATGGTATTTTTGTTGAGATAAATCTTCCTTCTGTGAACTGCTAAACATACAGTCATGGGAACTTGGATCTGAATGTACTCATTGTACTGATTCTTCCATATAAAATACAGAAAGAAAGAAAATATTATATGGCTCAAGGAAAAACTTAATATAGCTTTAGGTGATGAGTCATTTCAAGTCTCTGATTTTCATCAGTTTATCCAGATTTTTTTTTCCTCCCTAGCCATGTTCATTGTCCTCTAAAAATGAGATTCCTTCAGTGTCCCCCAGACCTAACTGGAAATGAGAGCTACGTTGATGAAGCAGATAGATTTTACTCCAATCCGCTTGCCTGGCTTAATGAGGAATTTTACAGTGAGACATTATTACCCAGCCACTTGATCTTCTTCAGTGTGCTAGAACAGGTATGGTAAAACTGCAAAGATCTGGTCTTAAAGGCAAGTTACAAAAGAAATTAAGCTAGAGTTATAATTAAGATTTTGATAGTTATGTGTTTTAAAAAGCTATAGACAATAACTTTAATAAAACCCTCTAGCTCATAATATAGTATACCCAGTGTTCCAGTGATACATAGTTAGAATTCCTGGATGCCCTTTGTGCAAATTCTACGTGTCAAAGTCTTCTTCTATGGAATTTTCCTCAAGCCATACTTAAAATCAAATGTGTAGTCCGTTCCCATAATTATATAATTTTAAGTGACTTTATAGACACATAAGAAGTAACAAGACCTCTACTTAGAGCATGCTTTCCACTCAATTCTTTTACAAAGTCTATGTACTCAACTTGGTCTGGTGAAGATCCACTTGTGATAGGATTGAACAGGATAGGAATCTCTTGTTGCAGACGCCTTTCCTAAATAAAGGACAAAACTTCCACGTGGTAGTTGAATTGATGGTTTCAAGAAGACTTTGAAACACACTTTTGATACTTCCAGATACAGTTTTTGGACTTTGCAAACTCATGTATGTTCATTTACAGGAAATATCATCATTTCTAACTTTAAAGGGCTATGAGAAATCTGCCACTGTCTTTCATACTCATGTACCTCAAGGACGAATTGGAAGCCACATCTATGTCTACAGAAGAAAAGCTGAAATGAATCATGCCTGAAGATCAGTTTCTAGACTTAAGACCTAATGAAAGCAGTTTTACATATTTGTACTACGCTTAGAAGTTCTTATACTACGAAAAAGAAAGTGTAATGAGTTTGAAACTGGGTAAGTAAAATGGTGAAGTCTGCCTAGGCAGTTATTGACAGTTTTAAAAGATCTAAACCTCTTCCTGAAGGCAGTTTCAGGGGCAACAGGGTGAAGGGGGACCTAGAAACACACTGCTGGGGAACATCCTCAAGACCAAAGGAATCACATGTCCAATTTCTTACTGTAGAAATAGTCCAGACTATACCATTTCTATATGACTGTGCAGCTATGCTAGATTTGTTTTATAAATAAAGACTTTTACCCACACTGTCTCTTTATTTTTCTTCCACAATATGCAGATATGCAAGACATTTCAAGTGCTTAAATCAGCAAGCTGATTAGAGTGCAGCACAGCAAATTTTTCACAATTCAACAGGCTCTTGACTCCCCAGAAGACAAGAAACAAGTATAAGATTACAAGACACTAACAAAATACATTACCATAACGTCCTATTTTTTTGAAGGATGAGATGAAGTTAGTATATCAAACACTGGAGTTAATTATGGGTCTATTATGCATGACTCAAGCCTGAGCTACGCTAATGGAATGCAATTAAGCGTATTTTTCATACACAAGTCATTGCATGCCGAGTTTCTGTAACGATGCTGCTGGCACCCAAACTATCATCACTTCCCAAGAACAGTTAAAGCAACAGTACAGAATATGCACATTAGAAAGCGTGACTGCTGCCTCGTAACAGCGATGTAGAAGTCAAATCATTTAGAGTAAAAATTTGCATCTTGCTGCTTTGTTGAAGAACAATTAGTTTGTAGAGAGGATGTGAATAACTCATTTTAATCTTATTTTTAGCATACATAAATTACTTAGTATTTTGGATCAAAGGGTAATTGCCCCAATTCTATTTCAAGATTTGCCATGTATCTTCCATTACTGCGACCATGTTTATACCATTTACCTTCTCTTTTATTACGATGGTGGTACTTCTGAGCTTGTTTTTCATGTCTGGAATTTTCAGTTTGTGTAAAAGAAGGCCTTTTAGGTCGACTGCAAGGAGTAAACAAAAGCTTATTACTACTCTTAAGAAAACACCTCTCTAAAAGCATTTTGAAACAAAATTACATTGTCAAGAACAGCTTTTAATAGAACGAGGATGGCTGAAAAGAAAAATTCAATCAGTACTGGAAATAGTTGTTTCTTATTAAAGCAAATTATATTTTCATTTTTTTAAAACATCATTAAGTGCATTTAAAAGTATTTCCCTGTTTCTAAAAATTGAAGTGCTCTGCAGTTGGTTGCCTAAAGTTTTATAATTAATAAAGCCAGGTGAATATCCCTACCATGACACTTGAGAAGAAGTCTGAATCTATATTTTGTTTTAGTTATTCCATTCCATTTTGCTCTAGAAAATAATGAAAACTTCCTATAAACTCACAAAAACACAGTTCACAAACAGGTACTTTGGCCGGGGCTGGGGGTGGTCCACGTATATAACTACAATCAGAATTTTACTATAAAGACAAGACCAGTGACAACGAAACACTGTTGCTCACCTGTTGTAGCTTCTGATGGAAAGAAATCTAGTAGGACATAATACTGTGCTCTTAGAGTAGGATTATAAATAGGCTTCTGCTAAATGGAGGTAAGGCTATTATCCTTAATTTAATACATTAAAAGAAACAAAATCCTCATACTGCAAACTGAATGAGTTTTCCAAAAATAAATATATTAATCAACCAAAAATTGAAGTCCATTGTCAAATGGCAAGAGGTACTTGAACTATAAAACTATCTCCTATGACATTATCACATATATTTAAACTACAGGTTAGAAAATGCTCCTTTTTAGTACCGATAGAAGTATCATCCTCAGTGCTGAACCTTTCATCAGAAAGAGCACTACATTTTTTTGCATGATCAGCATAACCATTAACACAAGAGAATGAGTAATCAATTTTGTAGTAATAGTGGCATTTAAGATCACATAAAATGTACAAATTAATTGTTACAGAAAGCATAAATTCCACACACTGCATTGAGGCCATTTGCTTAATTTTTCTTTCACCTATGTCTATGCAGTAGAAACAGTCCATTATGTCTAGTTTTTTTGGGCCAGCCAGACAGCATTCAGCAATTGCTCCCCAGGAGCCTGGAGAATAGCATGGAATACAGGAAGCCATGTAGCAAGGTGGGAAACAATTAATGTCAAGGTCTTTTTTTTGTGTAAAGTCTCAACAAAATTTAGTCAGGGTTTGGATCAGGAGTGCCATGTGAGCAACTCTGCTCTATTCAGCATCGTACTAAACTACCCCAGAGTACTGAAACTTCTGCAGAGCCAGCAGGGAAGCTTTCTGCCAGGGCAGCACTTGAGATCACTTCAGACATATATGAACACCCTCCCATTTAAGGAAGGACAACAGAAAAGTCTTAACAGTTAATGTTTCTACCAGATGGAATTAAAAATTATTAAATTCTTGAGTCAAGAGTAAGTAGTGCTAGATGCAGCTACATGCTTCTCTAAAGGCTTCAGTGAAAATACTAGACTGTGCTACGTTGAGTGAATCCATAGTACATGGCCCAATCTAACATCCTCCCCACCTCCTCCCAAAAAAAATCTGTCTCAGAAGCCAGAAGACCACCTACTAAAACGAGGTGGCTAATTGTCCTTACAAAGATTACTTCATTTTGTTAACAGTTCAGGAAACATGGAAACAAACCTGGGTCCATATTGGGGTGAATTATCATAGTGAAAGTAGTATCTGTAGATGTATTTGTCCAAATCTTCAAACACGTTTTCATTACTAGTTTGATATTCCTTCATATCTTCCAGATAATCCTTGATATCATTAACAAAGTCAGTGAACAGCATCTGGTCATGTATAAAGAACCCATTATGGAAAAACTTACTGATGAAATTTTCTAGTTCTCTCCAGTGATGGAAGTTATCTACAACTTGTTGCAAATACTTTTTCATTAGCCGGTTGAATTCATCCACTCTGATAGGATCCGATACTCTGTTAAAGAGACCAATGAATTCTTGATGAGCACATTCAAAAATACCGGAGCAGCCCTTTAGGGAAAACTGGTGTTTCCTATTACACATGGGGTCATTGAAACATTTCTGTGAATTTGCATCTTTTTCAAATGGTGTGAACTGATGCTTTCTTACGTCTTTGAATTCTTTTGGCATGCTGGGTCCTCGATAGTGCATGTGCTTCAGATTCTCATGAGAGTTGTGTTCTCGATAAACAGTTTTAGCTTTCTTGTTTGCCTCGTATCTTTTATCATTTGATTTCTTCTCCTTTTCATCAAAGATGTTTTTTGTGGTATCTTTGAAGTGTCTGAATGTAGACTTTACAGAATCGGAGAATTTTTTCAGGTTTTCTTTCACCGCTTCTTTAGCCTGCTTAATCTTTTCTTTATGGTGTCTTACAAACTCTTTTGTAGAATTTTTCATAGCATCAAAAGTTTCTTTAACCGAACCAAAAAATGATTCTTTTGATTTCTTTTTATTCCTACTTTGCCCTCTAGCACCTTTCTTTTGTCCTTTCCCACTCATTTCCTGGTTTTCAGTTTGATCTTTTGCTTCAACATACAGCTTCTCCCATAAGTCAGACCGTTGTTGCTCAAAGTTTAATTTTTTTTCCAGTTCCACCAGTCTTTCTCTCAAAGTTTCTATTTCTTCATTTTCTCTTAGTAGATCATCATCATTAGCACTGCCAGGTGTTTGATGAGAACTTAACTGTTCCAGTTCTTTTTTTAATGCTTCTGTAACATGACGTTCTCTGTCCAGTTCTCTCCTTAACATTTGTGCTTCTGCAAAGAGTGTTTCTTTTTGCCTAAGAAAGTTATAGTTTTTTTGCTTTTCCTCTTCCAAATGTTCCCTTAGTTTCTGATTTTCCATGACAATTGACTCTGTGCTAGTACCTTTATCTTCTAAGTTCCTGATTTGTTGTCTTAGTTTCCTTAATTCTTCCTGAAGTGAGGCCAAAGCTTTTTCTTCCTTCTCTAGAGATTCTCTTAAGTGCTGATTTTCTGCAGCAAGACTTTTTTTCTGAGATTCAGAAGACTTATCCTCCACCGCAGTAGAGGTCAAACATATGGCAAGATCTCCTTTTAGGGACTAATACAAACAGAAAGAAAATGAGCAAAAATATTATTGTTAATATTGTTACTTTTATCTAGATGGATGCAGTGGCACATGCTACAGCGAGATGAAAAGATAGAGACTGTTTATCTCAAATACATACACACAAACAATTCCTTGGCAACAAAAGCAATGTGAGAAGTTCCCATTTCCAGCTAGAAGATTATCACCCCTTGTTTGTATTGATTTAACTTGCTCTGCGATAGTAAACTAGATACCTGAATGCATCCAGCCTAAAGAGAAATGAAAAAAAGAGTTTCTGTTTGCTATTGCCTTGAGTCAGCAATTTGGGTTTACCAGACCCAGCCACACAAACAGAAAGAAGGACATTAAAAAGCAACTGAGGCAGAAATTCAGGAGCTGGTTTTGAACCACATTTATTGTTGAGAAATGTGTAACTATAATAGAACAGGATTTCCTCGACCTCTTGGCATCCTTAACAAACTCTGAAACATAGTCGATTATGTGTAAATATTGCTGTCAGCAACATAAAGTGCTAAAAACATAAGACCCCCCTAACAAAGCATTCTTCAATCTTATCTATGAATTATCTAGAGAGGACAAAATAAAAGACACACTACTGAATATTTGAAAAATGAATAAATTTTTGAAAGTTTAGGAAGCTAATTCCTAAAGCTTATAGGTTCAATATGTAATAGATTGTTATTAGCATGGGTCTATTTCAACAGTCTTCACTGAGGAAACCCTAACACTATGTCATATGGAAAGACAGTCTTCCCAGATAACTCCTGGACAATTACCAGACTGTTTCATATATGCAGACACAGAGGATCATAGAGCATGCGCTGCATATGCTCAGAAAAATTGAATAAGCAGATCACCCAAGTTCTGGTTTAGCTGGTTACTTAACATGTAACCATATACACAACTATTATTTTGAATCTCAAAATAACAAAATCAGTAACTTC